CTCAAAAAAAAAAAAAAAAATACCAAAATTATTTTCTTTTTTTTTGAGACAGAGTCTCTCATTGTCACCCTCAGTAGAGTGCTGTAGCATCATAGCTCACAGCACCCTCAAACTCTTGGGCTTAAGCAATTCTCTTGCCTCAGCCTCCCAAGTAGCTGGAACTACAGACGCCCACCAAAACGCTGGGCTATTTTTTAGAGATGAAGTCTTGCTCTGGCTCAGGCTGGTCTCAAACCTGTGAGCTCAGGCAATCCATCTTCCTCGGCCTCCCAGAGGGATGGGATTACAGGCATGAGTCACCGTACCTGGCCCCTAAAATTATTTAATTTAATTTATTTTTTTATTTGAGACAGAGTCTCACTGTGTCACCCTCAGTATAGTGCTGTGGCATCACAGCTCACAGCAACCTCAAACTCTTGGGCTTAAGCAATTATCTGCCTCAGCCTCCCAAGTAGCTGGGACTACAGGCGCCTGCCACAATACCTGGCTATTTTTATTTCTTTATTTTTTTTGCAGTTTTTGTCCAGAGCCAGGTTTGAACCTACCACCTCCAGTATATGGGGCCGGTGCCCTACTCCTTTGAGACACAGACACCACCCAATGCCTGGCTATTTTTTTTGTTGCAGCTGTCATCGTTGCCCAGCTGCCAGGGCCAGGTTTGAACCTGCCAGCCTAGGTGTAGCCTGCCACCCACTGAGCTACAGGTGCCACCCCTAAAATTAATTTTAAATACTAGTTGGGAACCAGAATAAATTATATCCTCCTGTAGAAATCCTCGCAAACACACAAAAACAAGTAGATAAATTTATAACAGCAAAGTAGATGTCACTAAAGAGAGAATTAGTGATTTTAAAAAAAAGAACAAAGATAGCCATAATGTGTTACAGAAACAATAAGAAATACAGATAGAAAACATATGAGAGGTGGGGTGGGGAGGGAAAGGCATTTAAAAAAAATATATGAGGATGGAAGCTCCAACATAAGTTAATTGGAGTTCAAGAAAGAAAGTAGGAGACCTTGTTTAACGAGATAACGGTAGTTAATTTTTTAGAACTGATAAAAGATACCAAGACACAGATGCATAATGCCCAATGATTCCCAAGTGGAATAGACAAGAAGGACCGACTCCTGGCCCTGCTGTGGCTGGGCCTCCTGGGGGTCTTCCTCCTTCTCACTCACCTCATGTTTACATGTACAGCTTCAGGGCAGGGCCAGGCACAAGACTTCAGTCCCAGGACAGACTTTTCCTCCTCAGTCTTATTTCTCCACAACCTATACCCCGCCACCACGCTGTACAGCAAGAAGATGGGTAAAACAAAAGCTTTCAAGGTAGAGTGACCATTGGTAACTATCTTAAAGTAAACACATATTTCCTCCTTTCCTGGGTTGCAAACTAATCTAGCTGGCTCATACAATACCCTTAAAAAGTTTCACCTCATTGCCAAACATACATAACTCATCTTCATGAAAGTCCTATGGTCCAGGCCAGGCATGGGAGCTCACAGGTATAATCCCAGCATTCTGGAAGGCCAACATGGGTGGATCCCTTGAGCTCAGGAGTTAGAGACCAGCCTGAGCAAGAGAGAGACCCCCATCTTTACTAAAAATAGAAAAATGACCTAGGTGTTGTGGAGAACACCTATAGTCCCAGCTACTTGGGAAGCTGAGATAGGAGGATCACTTGAACTCAGGAGTTTAAGGTTGCTGCGAGCTGGGAAGCCATGGCACTCTACCCAGGGCAACAGAGAAAGACTCCATCTTGGAAAAAAAAAGTCCAGTGATCCAGCTTCTCTTGAAAAGTCAAAAGTCCTGGTGACACGAAGCCTGTGTTTCAGCAGGGCAGAATGGAAGGGGCCAGGCCACTTCTCCATGTCCTGCTGGCCTCCCATCATCAGCAGAGTGGGTCAGAGAGAATGAGGGAGGCGCCTTAGCCAGCAGAACAATCTTGGGCTTCCTGGAGCCTGGATAGCAGCTTGTCCCCATTTCCAGAGAATTGACACCACTGGAGGAGGCCTCCCTGCAGAACCAGAAGCTGAAGGCTGCATATGAGGCCCGGATGGCCCGTCTGGACCCAAGCCAGGCCATGCAGAAGACATCCCTAGTGAGTGGGACCCAGGGACGGGCTGGGGTTGGTGTAAGCAAAGGGTGACGGTTGTGGAGTACTCCTCACTCTCTACTTCCTCCCCTAGACCCTGTCTTTGCAGAGGCAGGTGATGGAGAACCTGGTGATCGCCAAAGCCCGGGAGGAGACAGCATCCTTTCTGGCCGTCCTGGTGGGCCCTGAGCTAAGGGCAGAGTGGGCGATGTGGGGGAGCAGAGGTGCCAGGGTCGGGTGTGGCTTGATAATTCTTCACGCCTGAGTGGGTCATGTCCTCAGAGCCTGGTCCCCTCCCCCGCTGTAGCTACCAGGCCCTCCTCTGGCTCTTGCTGTCCCGGCCTCTCAGCCAGTTGTCCCCTGGCCCTCCCCAGCACCGGCCTGAGCCTCCCCAAGAAGCCGCCGCCAAGTAGCTGCCCGTCCTTCCAGCCCTACTCGCCCACCAGACTGTACCTCTGGAGGGGAGCGGGAGCCTCAGCCGCCTGCTGCACCCTTGTGTTGCACGGCTCCGGGACGTCCCGGATGCTCGGGGCAGCGAAGCGGATGAGGGACGGGGAAGGGGCGGAGGCCGGCCCAGGTCTGACACTGCGGCCCCTTGACTCTGCCGCCCCAGCTCCAGCGGAAGATGGAGGAGCGTCGGCTGCGGCTCCAAGAGGCTGCCAACAGGTGCGCCTCCTGCCGCCTCCCGGGCAGCGGGGGAGGGCTCGTAAGGGTCTCCAGCGCCCGCAGGTCCAGCTCTGGGGTCCAGCCTCGTCCTTGATCCCCAGGAGGTTCTGCAGTCAGGTCGCTCTGACTCCGGAGGAGCGGGAGCAGCGGGCCCTCTATGCGGCCATCCTGGAGTACGAACAAGACCACGTGAGTCCGGGGATACCGCTGGCGGAGGCGGGGCTGGGGCGGGGCTCCAGCGAGGCGAGGGCTAGGCGAAGCCCAGGGTGTGAGGGGCTTTCTTGGCGGAAGGGTCTCGGTACCGGGCAGAGCCAAGGTTCAGCTGGTCTGCTTGTGTTGCGTTCCTTGCACCCCAAAGACACTTCGCCCTGGGGCCCACCTCGCACGAGATTAGGAGCGTCCCATCGTGGGAGACCCAGGGTGCTTTCCTCCAAGGTGCTCTGTACTGCAGGACTGGCCAAAGCACTGGAGGGCCAAGCTCAAGAGAAGCCCAGGGGACCTGTCGCTGGTGACTAGCCTGGTCTCGCACCTCCTCAGGTACCCTTGAGCCTTCAGGCGCCTTTCTGATTTGGCCCCACCGACCCCTGTGCAGGCCTTGGGCTCCTGTCCCTGTCTGTTGCTGGATGCTGTGCAAGAGGGGTTAGAAAGCAAGGAGCATAATCAGAAAATCTGGAGAGGTTGCTGCTGCCCCACCAGGCTGCCCAAGGTCTCAGGGTCCCTGTGGGGATCTCAGCTCCCCTTTGCTGATGGTTCCCTTGGCTTCCCTCATCTCTCCAGATGGGGTGAGTCAGATTTTATTTGTGAAGTTCCCTGACAGGAAATAATCCAGGAATCACTTCCCTGAAACCTTTGATGGTGTGACTTGGTAGACAGGTGTCACAGGTGAGGGCCCAAAGCTCAGATGGGTGAGGTCAGTGACAGGCTGGGGCCAGCTGGCATTCTGCTGCTTCTTCTCATTATGAAGGGTGGCCTTATGATCTCTGCTAAGGCACCAGAATGGTGTGGCACTGCCTCTTCTGACGGTGCAGCATTTCCCGAACAGCCCACTTCTCTCCTTACAGACTTCCAGATCACCCAATCTCACAGCTCCTGAAGAAGCTCCAGTGTGCTGTGTATAGCACGCTGTACCCTGTTGTGAGCAGGGCCTCTGCCAGCACTGCGTCTGCCCCAGGCTGCTGCTCCCTGCCCCCTGACACTGACCGGCTGCTGGCTCCCGGAAGCCGCAAGCTCCGGTCCTCACAGAGCCTGTACTGTGTGCTATCCCCCTCAGAGGCCAGCACAACTCTTCAGCCCCAGAACAGCTGCTCTGCAGCCCCCACTACACCCCCTCTATACCCTGACCCCCTGGACAGAGGAACAGAAGGCAGCCCCGGGGGACCACATTCACCCCTGGTGGATGCCTCTTCCTATCTGCCAGACAAAGACAGCTCCTTTGAGGACCTGGAACAATTTTTGGCTACGTCTGAGAGGTGGGGCCAGGGCCTTGGGGGGCAGCCTGAGCCAAGCAAGATCCCAGGGCTACAGCAGGATCCCCTGCTGGAGCAGCTGAAGAGTGCTGTGAAGGACATACACAATGCCATCGGTGAGCCCTCCCATAGGACAGGCAGTGGGGGAGTAGCTCTGTTAGCAGCTTACCAGAGCCCTGGGATGGGCCTGGGATAGAGGCCTTCCCTGGAGGCAGCCACATCAGCCCTGACTTGCAGCTCTGTCCACCCTCCCCTGGGGCCAAGCATTCTGCCCAGCAGAGCAGGCACTGGCCCTGCCCCAGGTCTTCAGAGAGCAGGTGCAAGAGATATGTGAGTCTAGGGTCTCCCTCAGTCTGCACTATTTTCTCACTGGGCTGCCCAGGGAGGAGGGAGATATGGCCCATTTACCCCTTACTCTTTATCCTGCCCAGTTGAGTCTTCTGGTTGGGGAAGAGTCTGCCTGTCAGACCCTCTGGTCAGCAGGTGGTCCTGGCTATCTCTTTGGGTCTGATGCACTATATCTCAATCTAAGGAGACTATTGAGTATATGCAGCCTGGTGGTATCAAGAGACTCAACTCTCAGCTGCTCTTAATTTGGAAATAGTATGTGTGGATCCTCTCCTGTGCAAGTCCTTTCTAGGAATGAAAGGTTTTCTAAGGGCCAGTGAGGGAGGCTCAGCAGCCAGGGTCTGCTTTCTCACTGTCCTGCCCACATTCTGAGGGACTTGGGAGGCCAGCTCAGAGAGGGATGACACTGCGGCCTACAGGTGCTAGCCAGGGATGTTCCATTGTGATGTCCCCTCTCTGTTTCTGGCAGACAGGCTGCTTTCCCTCACACTCCTGGCCTTCGAGAGCCTGAATACAGCTGCCTCCAAGGACCGCTGCTTGGCATGCATCGAGGAGCCCTTCTTCTCCCCACTATGGCCTCTGTTGTTGGCCGTGTACAGGTATGGCCCCACTGTGTAGCTGCCATGAGTCCAGCTCCCATCCCGCAGGGCCTGCCCTGACCACTCAGGCACTGTCTGCTCTCTTCTTAATCACTGAGGGGTTTTTTTGGTACTTTTGGCCAGGGCTTTGCTCTGAGACCATCCTTGGGGGTCTCTAGTTTATAGGTAGGGCCATGTCCACCTCCCATAACTAGGGTCTCAGGAACAGTCAGGACATTTGTTTGGGGTGTGTGGCCAGTTTTCTCTAGGACTGAGCACCAAGGGCCTCCAGCCACAGCCCTGCCTTTCCCTGGGGCAGGGTCCCTGGGCAGCTGAGCCTGGCCTCTCTCTGCATAGGAGTATACACCACACACGGGAGGCTGCCCTGGGCAGGATCATGGAGCTCTACAGGAATGCTCCCCCCACAGCTGTTGGCATCCCCACCAAGCTGCTCCCACAGGACGCTGAGGCTAAAGGAGCCACCTCCTACCCATACTGTGCCGCTACCCAGGAGCTGGGTCTCCTGGTGCTGGAGAGTTGCCCTCAAAGGAAGCTGGAATGCATTGGTAAGACTAGAGCCTATGGCTGTACATCTATGCTCCAGACCTGTCTCTTGCCAGATGTGAGATGGGGTGTGAGCAGTGAGAGCAGTGCCCACAGGGCTCACCCCACTCTGCCCAGCCTGCACATGAGGCGGCCTGGGGGCAGTGCCAGGGAGTGTGGGCAGCCTTCCCATCCTCACCTGGTCCTCCGCTGCACCTCTCTGCAGTGCGGGCCCTGCGGATCATCTGTGTCTGTGCAGAAGACTACTGCCATGCTCAGGAGGCCACCCCAGAGACCGGACCCCACCTTATGGCTGCAGCTGCCATGTGAGTCCCAGGAGGGCTGGGGGCTACCCTAGGAGAGCACCAGGAGAGGAGGCCTCCTGCCTGAGTGGCCTGGTGGGGAACAGAACTCTCCCCTGCCCTAGCATGTGGTATCTCCTGAGCTGGGAAAACAAGCCCATTTCCACTGAGAACCAGGGCTCAGCAAAGGCTGGGGCAGGGCTGTTCACACTGTGCCCTTGGGGCTGAGTCAGGGCTTCTAGGGGTCAGGAACCCCACAACTAATATGCTAGAATTTGGGGTTGCTCTTCCCAGAAACATGTGCTCAGACCCTCAGTTTCACATTTGGGGACAAGCAGGCTATGGGCTCCTAACAAAGGGCTGCTCCCACACAGCCTCCCAGCCAAAGGGGTGTCCTAGCATGTCTCTGGTACCCTTTCCCCTAAGGGGCAGGCAGATCTTCCCCACCTGAGTTCTGCAGATCTTCCCCACCTGAGTTCTGCAGCCCTTGGGTTTGGTGATGCCCAACCTACCTCAATCTCCCCTGGACTCAGCTGTGGCCACACCTCCTGACCTGGCCCTGGTGTCCACCTGAAGCCAGTGTCCCCTCAGGTCCCATATATACTTTGCCTCCTGCAACCCTATCCCAGGAACCAGGCTCAGCCCTGAGCACACATGTTCTGGCAGCCTGGTGGGGCTGTGGCACTTGTCCTGTACCCAGGGCCTACAGGTGATGGGCTAGGAGGTCAGCAGGGAAGACAACCAAGAGCAAAGAACTTGCTCCCCATCCACCCAGGGCAAGGCCACTGGGCCCTCAGCAACAGGATCTGGTGGGAGGGGGCTGGGCTCCTGTATAGGTCATGGGTCACTGTAGGCAGAGGAGTACCAGACACAGTCCCATGTTGATCCATCGGTGCAGCCACTGGGGTCATGTGTCTCTTCAGGTGTAGCAGATGGGTGGACCTGATAGAAGGTGCTGTCCCCCATCTTACAGGCCCATTAGCTCTCTGACCCCCACAGTTCCCAGAGGCTGCTGCCCTGTGAGGTTGAGTGCCCTGTGGGGCCTCACTGCTCCTTAGTCCTGCATTGGGTCCAGGGCAGCCACTGTGCCACACCAGTGACACCTACTCTCAGCTTGTTCCTGCCCAGAACCCAGTATAGAGGCCCTTGAGGGACTGGAGGGGAGCCTGCAGGGCATGAGTAACCACGATCTTGCCTTCTAGGCTCTCAAGTCTGTGAGATTGAGCTCCATTGGGGGGTGATGGTGTAGGCTGGAGGGGCCAGGGACTACCTGGGCCCAGCCCTGGCTCTTCAGCACAGAAAGTGGGGCAGAAGGCACAGAGAGGGCAGCTGGCCTGGCAGGACCACTCCAGGGGCCACCAGGCCTGGGGAGTGAGTGGGCCTTGCCCACGCACGAGCTCTATGCCTTGCCTAGCAGTGGTGCTGACGACCTGCTCCCCATCCTGTCCTTCGTTGTGCTGAAGAGCGGCCTTCCCCAGCTGGTGTCGGAGTGTGCAGCCCTGGAAGAGTTCATCCATGAGGGGTAGTAGCCTGCCAGAGGCAGGACAGGGCAGGCTCACCTGCCAAGGGACCCTTCCCCAACCCTACCCCAGCATCCACACCTGTCACACACCAGCCTTGGGCCTCCCACTCCACCTATACGTAGGCCACCCCCGGCCAACATGTCCCACAGCTCAGCCTGCACTGTCCTAAGGCAAAAGCACAGAGGCTGTCCCTAAGCATCTACCTGGGGAGGGGGCTGAACAGAATGGGCAAGAAAGGCCTCCCCAGCCCAGCCTCCCTCACAGCACCACCTGGGAGGTAGCTTGGGGCTCAAGTCCTCCCCTCGGGAGGGCAGCAACTGTCTTCTGGAGTGCTGGGTGTTCTCTGTCCCCTCCAGATGATGTGTGCTGCCTATGTCCACACAGGTACCTGATTGGAGAGGAAGGTTACTGCCTCACATCGTTGCAGAGTGCCCTCAGCTACGTGGAGCTGCTGCCCCGGGGGGCCCTGAGCAAGTAGCAGAGGCTGAACCCAGGCTTCCAGGACCACAGGACCCACTGAAGACAGTCTGGAAATTCACACTGCCCTGCATACCTGGCACTGGGCCTGGAGAGCACATCAGCTCTCCAGCCCTTATCCCTTCATCACCCCTCATCTGCCCCAAGGAGTATGTGTGGCACCTCTACTCCCAGGAAAGGCTGAGAGGCCCCATCAAGGGGACCTGAGCTGAGAGATCCCTGGGCCTCAGCGCACTCTCATAGACACTCAGGCAGCTCCTGGGGGCCATTAGAGCAAAGAGGCGGCTGCTAGCCAGCCCACAGCAGCAGCAGCATCTGGTTTCTCTCCGGTCAGGTCCCATCTCCTGTGGTCCCATCCTCTATGACCGTTAAAGCTCCTCTGAGCCAGCTTCTTGTCTGAGTTAAGACAAGACTCTACTTGACTTCAGAAGTCTGGGGCACAGGTGGTGTGAGACTGCTGTTCACCCACTGGGCAGGTACTGTTCTGGTGCCCAGTGGGCCAGCCATTTGGGGCCCTGAGCTGCCCCTCATTCATCATGGCAGGTAGGCAGAGAACATTCTGGGATTCCCAGACAACCCCACCCTGTATGTCCTCTCCTAGGTCAGTGTGAACTGAGGCTCAGTGCCTGTTACATGCCCACTGATGGTCACCAACCCAGCCTGAAATAAAGAGGTCATTGCTATCTCACTTGACATAGCTGCTCAGCCCCCACCCTGCTGCCCACCATAGACCACTGAGGATAGGCAGTGAGGAGCCACAGCCCACCCCAAAGTACCTACCTCCTTCCCTAGAGCCTCCACATGGGAGCAGGACCCTCCTGGGGCTACAGCAGGCCAAACAAGACAGCCCTGCAGGGTACCAGCGGGCTGGGTGGAGTTGGGATCAGATATCATCATTGAGGACATGTCTCTCCGGAGTCACAGTCATTCTGTACATGGGAACACAAAAGGGCCCCATGATGGACATGTATGGCCTCTGGAGAAGGGAGGAGATGGCTAAGCACGGGTATCCTCTGCCAGGGAGGAAAGGACCTTCTGTTCCTCCACAGTTAAGGGGGACCCCCGGCCCCAGGTTCCACCAAGAGCTGGTTATGGTGGGTGTTTGGCTTCCTCAGGGAAAGGGCTACAAAACAGTAACAGCAAGGCCAGGTGAGGTGGCTCACACCTATAATCCTAGGACTTCAGGAGGCTGAGGTGGGTAGATCACCCGAACTCAAAGGTTCAAGACCAGCCTGAGCCAGAGTGAAACCTCCTCTCTTAAAAAAATGCCAAGGGTTGTGATGGGCACCTGTAGTCCCAGCTACTTGGGAGGCTGAGGCAAGAGGATCACTTGAGCCCAAGAGTTTGAGGTTGCTGTGAGCTGTGACACCATAGCACTCTACAAAGGGCTATAAAGTGAGACAATATCTCAAAAAAACAAAACAAAACTAGGTGGTATCTGTCAGGTATTACCCCCTCTGCAGGTAATAGCTGGTTTACCCCCACCCCGCCCCAAAGGGGCCCCCTGAGGAAGCAAGTGGAACACCTCTCTAGGTGGGTGGCAGAACTGGTTTTTTAAGCCCAGGAGACTGACTGCTGAGACTAGCCTGTGAATACTGTGCTGGCCTAGAGAGCCAGGGCAGGTACCCTGAGTCCTGGGGACAGCTGTCCTCTGGTTGGAGTCTCTGTGGATGGGTCGTCTTGGGCTCACTTCTCAAGTCATTCCCATGGTCTCTCACCCAGAGTTCCAGGGACACACAGGCTGCCAACTACTTGCCTGCCTGCATGTGGCAGGGCTTTCATCTCTCTGTAAAGAAAAGACCCAAACTCACAGCTCCTGACCCAAACACTCTGTCACTCTGCTGACTCCAAGAGGTTTCTCTCCAATCATAAAAGCTTGTGCTATTATGAGGCACAGAGTTCTGAGCACTCTAGACGGGGATGTGAATCTCACCCAGTCATGGTATCTTTAGGGGCAACAAGTAGTTTCCTTGCACCTGGTTTCAGCATGGATGTATAGATGAAGTTGTAGTTTTATTATTTTTTTATTTCTTTGGAGACAGAGTCTCAGTCACTGTGGTTGAGTGCCATGGCATCATAGTTCATAGCAACCTCAAACTCTTGGGCTCAAGCAATCCTCTTGCCTCAGCCTCCTGTGAAGGTAGAGTTGTAAAGGTCCACTTTATAGAATTGTGAAGAACTATATCTTGAGCTAATCCTGACCTTGGAAGGACCTGGTGGCTTTGTATCAGGGGTCACACCTGTTGCACCACTACTTTAAGAGCTGGGCTTCTGCTGCCCTGCTGTCTCCATGACATGGAGGTTAGGCAGGCTGTGTGCAGGTCCCTCTTGCTATGTGACTTTGGTCTACTCCTTTAGCTTCTCTGACCCTGCAGCTCCTCCATAAAACAGGTATGAGTAATAGAATCTTCCCACTGGAAATCAGGAAAAAACAGAAAAGGCTGTAAGTGAACTGAAAAAGCTATTCAGGCTCAATGCCTGTAGCTCAGGAGGCTAGGGCACCAGCCAGATACACTGGAGCTGGCAAGTTTGAATCCAGCCCAGGCCAAAAAATAGCTGGGTGTTGTGGCAGAAGCCTGTAGTCACAGCTACTTGGGTGGCTGAGGCAAAAGAATCGCTTGGCCCAGGAGTTTGAGGTTGCTGTGAGCTGTGACACCACAGCACTCTACCCAGGGCGACAACTTGAGACTGTGTCTCAAAAGAAAAAAAAAAAAAGAAAGAAAAAGCTATTCAGCGTAAGAAATAGTGTTCAAATCCTAACAAAAGTCAAATGCAATGGCTTGGCATCTGTAGCTCAAGCAGGTAGAGCACCAGCCACATACACTGGAGGTGGCAAGTTCGAGCCCAGCCCAGGCCTGCCAAACAGCAATGACAACTATATCCAAAAAATAGCTGGGCACTGTGACAGACGCCTGTAGTCCCAGCTACTTGGAAGGCTGAGGCGAGAGAATCACTTAAGCCCAAAAGAGTTTGAGGTTGCTGTAAGCCGTGACACCACAGCATTCTACGGAGGGTGACATAGTGAGACTCTGTCTCAAAAAAAAAAAGCAAATTAAAACACATAACTTTATACCCATTGGGCTAGTGAAAATTATCAAGCTGGGAAATGTTGAGTATGATAGTATGTGGGGAAAGGGGACCAGAGAGCCAGGTGGAAGATGGCAGTCCTGGCCCAAGGTAAGTATAGATGGCCCCTCTGACCTACTGAGTATGCTCCTGGTCTTAGCCCAAGGTCCACAGAAGGACATGAGTGCATGCAGAGCAGAGGTGCTACAGCACCCATCCCTGGGAGCCACCACTGTGTAACAAAGCACCCAGCTCACTGCCTTAAACACAGAACACCCATTTATTCTGTTCATCAATTTTCCATTTGGGCAGGAATCCAAGGGAACAGCTTGTCTCTGTTCCTGTCCCAGAATCACTCAGGGCAGCTTCCAGGTTGGGGTAGCCCAGTGACTAGGGCTCAGTTCATGTGAGGATCTGTCCACTGTCTGCAGTTGATGCTGGAACCTTGTCAGAACAGATGCATGACATCTAAGGCTGCCATGACAAAATGACACAGAATGGGGCAGTGTCTGTGGCTCAAAGAAGTAGGGCGCTGGCCCCATATGCCGGAGGTCCCCATATGGGGCCAGCGCCCGCTCAAACCCAGCCCCGCTCAAACCTGCAAAATAAATAAATAAATAAAACTAACTTCAAAATGACACAGAATGGGTGGCTTAGAACAACTGAGTTATTCTCCCTCCCTCTGTTCTGCAGGCCAGAAATCTGAAATGAAGATTTCTTCAGGGCTGTGTCTCCCTGAAGGCCTTAGGGAAGGACTCTTCCTGCCTTTACCCTGGTGGCTGCAGGAGTGCTTGACAGTTCTTGGCTTGAAGCCACAGCACTCCAAGCTCTGCCTTAACCTTCACATGACTCCCCATGTGTGCTTAGGCACCGAAATCTCCGACTTCCTGTAAGGACAACAGTGGTACTAGATTTAGACCCCTCCTAATCCAGAATAATCTCGACTACATCTGGAAAAACCCATTTCCAAACAAAGTTCCATTCACAGGTTCTAGGTGGACCTTACAATCCAGGGCAAGACCATTCCATGTAGCCACCAAACTTCTCACAGGAGAGTCGCTGGGTTCCAGGAGCCAACAGTTCATGGGGCATGGCATTCTTTACAACATGGCTTGGAAGTCACACATTGTCAACAGCAGGCACAAAACCCAGTCAGGTTCAAGGGGTGGAGATGTAGGGCTGGAGTCACATGGACCCAAGAAGTGAAGAGCAGCTAACTGCACCCTCCTCTGCAGGAGAGGAGGATAATGAGGGGAGATAGAGGCCAGAGTTAGCTGTCACCTCCAGGTCAGTGTGGTGGTGTGGGCAACATTTGGCACCAAGGCCAGGGCCAGCAAAAAGAGAAAGAATCCAGTGTTTCATGGTGGCAAAATGACTCAGGGACATCTGTCTGCCTTGGTCAGAACTTAAACCCCCCCCCCCCGTGAAAAAAAAAAAATTTTTTTTAAAAAAAAAA